GAGAGGCGAGTACGCCTAATCCAAAGCGACCGAGCCAATGTGCGGAATCAGGCTTCAACCGCTTGCTGGCTCGGCCGCCTCGTGCTAACCGAGCTCGTCTCTCATTGATCACTATTTTTCGTTAATAACTCGTGAACGAAACCGCGGATTGTAATTTTGCTAAGGAAAAAGTTACTTCAAATGATCTCAACAATTCCACATTTCTCCGAAGTACCAGTAATTTTGGGACACCCTGTATATTAGTTTGTAGAGGTTTTCTAAAATATTTAAGTTAATATTAATATGAAAAGTATATTTATATTTTTCATAAAAAATTTTCTTACAAAAATTATATCGTGCTTGGTCTTATTTTAATTAGAAAAAGCCCACGATTGCATAACGAAAAGGCCTATTAAGAAATAATAAAAAATAAGAAAGTTAGGCATTGCGTTGTTATCTGTCTTTCATTTGCTGTTCATTTCTACGTTCAGTGCCGGAGGACGATTGGAGACAATGTTGAGTCTTCCAGTTATCTTCCAGTTATCTTAGGTCGCCGATTGAGGCAATATACAGTGGCCCACAAAAGTGTTCGTCATTCCACATGAACACCATCTGTAACATGCCGAAACATTCAATAATACATAAATTCATGCACACACCGGGTCACAGATGCGAAATCGGACGGGTTAGCACCACTCTGGAACTCACCATCTTTCCGCGTTATTATCATCTGTATACGCAGTGCAATAAGCCTAAGGTCACGGTAACGCGTCAAGAAATGAGAGAACTAAAAGTTCGCGAGAAGGGTGGATTAGTAGAATAGCATGTGATACAGAGATAATATTGAGTACACAAATAATGTAAATGATTCTTGCCTACTAAAAAACCGCTCCCCTTCTCGCGACTTGATGCTCTCCCCCCGCCACACCGCGCAATCTCGTTCATTATATTACTTCAGGGGGAGGGGGGTAGTCGCAACCGCGGGGCGCTGCTGCGTCCTGCCGATAGAGCTATCTAAGATGGAGCAGAGGTGTTCCATTGGCGACTGCCCTCCAATCATTCATGGACCGCAGCATCACCTCTACAATGTTGTCTGTGGTGAACGGGACATCTTGTCTGAGGACATCACGTGCGCCGACCCAGCGCTCACAGGCGAAGAGGGTGCATCCGGCGCTGTTCCTCTCATTGCGGCAGCCGTAGCCACATAACGGCGAGGTTGCCCTCCCAACCCTGAACTGGTAGGACTTGAACTAACTATGCCCGCTCAGGAATTGGATTACGAGGTAATTGACCTCGCTGTGAGATTGTCCGACCGAGGAAGGGAGGTTAGGAATCAGCCTTGCCGTCCAGCATCCTCGGGTCTCCCCCTGCCATCTCCGCTGCCAGTGGTGAAGGGTGGTCGCTTGCGCCACCCTCTTCGCCACGGCCTTGTCTTGGCCGCTCGTCCTCGCCTCATAGACCTACTTTCGTTCTAGGGCGAGAAGGTCTATGGGCACCATTCCTTCTATCACAAACACAGCTCGCTCCGCGACAGTCCTGTACGAACTTGTCACCCGGAGCGCGCATCTTCGCTGTCCTGCAGGCATCCTCCTGCGGTACTTTCAGAAGCGGAAGGCCGATACCCAAACCTCCGCCCTATAAAGCATCACTGTCTGGGCGGCGGTCATCAACAACTTCCGCTTCGCTGCCTTGGGGCCACCAGTATTCGCCATGAGACGGGAGAGGGACGACGCTACCGCCGCCGCCCTGTCAGCCGCCAGCCGTATATGTGGGCAAAAGGTCCGCTTGGAGTCTAGTTGGACCCCTAGGTACCTAATGGCGGCCTCGAACAAGATGTTACGGGCCCACACCTGAGATGGTATCTCGGTGGGTATCCTTCGCCTGAACAGGACAACGAGCTCGGTCTTTTCGGTCGCAAGCATCTCTCGACCCGTCTCATGATCTGGTTCAAGTCAAATTGCGTATGTCCCGTGCGATCACGTCAGTCACGATGTCTGCATAGCCGACCGGGAGCGCCAATAATAATGATAATAATAATAACAATAACAAGACGATATTTTAAATTAGTAGAAATGGAACCATCGATGGTTGGTTGTTGTGTCTGTTGTGCCATCGCCGGTGGTTGTTGCGGAGGTGGTTGTGTCATAGTTGACAACCTAGCCGTTGTTAGCGTCGGAGGGGGGGGGGGCAATAATACCAGTATTGGCGGTGCTGCAATTATTAAGGGTGCAGTCCTCTACTTTTATTAAAATATTATATTTAAGCAAGACTGACATTGTTGAAGGTAAGCAAAAACTTTGGATATCTTTTTAACGAATAAACGAACAAGTTATATTTTATTGCAGGCGCGCAGGGTTGCTCCACAAGATACGGTTTTATTGTACAATATTGCACTTGAACTTCAGCGTCTGACAACGCAAATACTAAAAGATGAAAAATCAACTTTGACTACTGTACTCCAAGCGGTTCATGAATTAGGACTCTCACATAAATATTTCCAATATCTGTCGGCACATGGAGATAGAATGGAACAGCTTGCGGAAGCGGAAGCTAGGAGGTGTCTAGACCTGTTGTCACAAGCACGTATTTTTACGTGACCCGCGCTCCGGTGACAGACTGCAAAAAACGTAAAAATACGTTGCCCGCATGCCAAGTGTTAATTATTAAACGTGAAACAAACGAATGTAGTGACTGATATCTTTGCGATTGCATCAGTCAGCACAGTGTTTCCATTTGCCATCGTCATAGGGGCGTCCCTCGTGTCCGCCCTACACCCTAAATAGTCTACAAACTGAAGTGGAGTAATGCGCCTGCGTTGACACGACACGTAGGTCAGCTTTTTGCTACACGGCACATTCCCTTCACTTCGGAGTAGGAGTGGGAGGCTTGCCGACGATTTCAGGGCTCTACATTATAGGTGTGCAACTTACGTTTAACTGAAATTCGTACTCTCTGTGTCACTCGTACATAAAATATTTATTTACGTTATAGACTTGGAAATTTAGAAGAAGCTAAAAAAAGTTTGGCAGAATCACTGGCGCGTTCAAAAGCCGATGCCTTACACGATTCTGTATATTATAATTCTATCGCGGTTACAACAACGTACAATTTAGCACGACTGAATGAAGCTTTGTGTGTCTTCGACAAAGCGGAGAAGTTGTATAAAGACATTTTAAAAGAGCATCCGAATTATATAGATTGTTACTTACGTCCTGGTTGCATGGCGCGGGACAAAGGACAGATTTATGAAGCATCCGATTGGTTCAAAGACGCTTTGAGAATCAACAATGAACATCCGGATGCTTGGTCACTTTTAGGAAATTTGCATTTGGCTAAGATGGAATGGGGTCCTGGTCAAAAGAAATTCGAAAGAATCCTGAAAAATCCTACAACCAGTACAGATGCTTATTCACTGATCGCCTTGGGCAATATTTGGTTACAAACTCTACATCAAAGTGGGAAGGACAAGGATCGGGAGAAACGCTACCAAGATAGAGCATTGGCTATGTATAAACAGGTACTAGTGTTACTCATATATGTTTGTAATTTGCAATCTGGAGTTTGCGCTTGTCACAGTTTCTATATGGAACTTTTAGGTTTTACGAAATGATCCTAAAAATATTTGGGCGGCGTGTAGATCTCAAGATCTCAAGTTTCATAAACTAGTTCACAAAAATCAGAGTATAACAAATTTCGTTATATCAAATTATTTTCACAACATGGATTGACTGATTTGAATTCTTGGAAGATTCGAACAAGATCGAGAAATCGCTCAACTGTGGCGGCTACCTCCAGACCCGCCAACAAATGACTTCTCTTCCCGCAAGTAACCGATCTGACACAATTTGTATACATACAGTGCGACGTCGTTCCGATCTCCGCGAGTTCCTAGACGCGGGCAAGGGCGACCCCGGGATTCTAAAGTCCTTACGCCAGGCCACGCAAGGCCATACGTGCGTGATCCACTTGGCGCAAGCTCGACCTCCTTAACCCGAGAAAGATAACCTACGTCGCAGAGGCGCCTGCGAAGACTGTTGATTTTTGTTAATTTTTCATAGAGGTCTAGTGATTTAAGTTTAAAATTACTTAAAATATAAAAAAAATAATATAAATGCATTTTATTTTTACAATAATGCCAAACCTTTAAAATGACTAGATTAACTTAAATAAATATCCATTGTTAGTATAAAATTGACGCCTTAGAAAAGCATGCGCCTCTGAAGCGTATGGTTATCTTTTACGTACGTTGTCATATGGTTATCTTTCTAGGGTTAACGGAGCGCGCGCCTATTTGACCTTGACGGAATTGATCGACGCGCTGCAGTTGTGCGAACGGACATTAGACAAACCAAATTAGAAATATTTTCGACCGCCAGGTGGCACACGCATATGTTTCTGTGACCACAGGTATCGAACACGATGTGTCGGTAAAAATGTAGCGGAAGAGAGAAAGAAAGCTGAAAGAGAAGGATAGCGACTAAACATGATTGCCACATTTCATTCCTCGCCGCATTCCTCGTCGAACGCGGAAAGCGGCATAGGAGCGTTCCCGCGCCCGGTCAACCGTAAGACGATGGCGCGTCCCCCGCACCCGTCACGGTGATAGCCGCGGGCCGCTTAGGAATGCGGAGGGCCTGGACGAGGGATTCGGAAACGAAGGTCGCCTCCGACCTCTGGTCCAACAAGGCCCTCACCGGCCCTACCCCCCGTCGCGTGACTCTACCCATACTAGAGCGATCGCGAGCAGTACGGCCCTGCTCCCGCTCCAGTGTGCGACGCAGTTATGGACCGCGGACGATGCGGAGATGTTCGTCGCTGCCTCCCGCCCGGGGTGTCCCGAACGGAGGCAGTTGAAGCAGTTTCATTTCGTAATTTGCTCATTGGCCATTCCCGCTCGTCCAATAGTATCCACGAGGGCCCATGCCACCACAACTTGCTGGCTCGGAGTATCGAAGGGCTCGTTCCACGTGATAAAAGATCCGCGGGATTATCGACTGATATAACGTGCGACCAAGTGCAATGCGCGGTTAGTGATTGTATCTCCGATGTTCTATTTGCCACGAAGGTGTTCCATCTGTATGGACTTTCCTGGATCCATGCTAGAACAACCTGGCTATCGGTCCAACAGTACTCGCGAATCGGTCCCATGCGTAATGATTCCCGAACCTTTTTCATGAGCCGAGCTAACAAAACTGCACCGCACAGTTCCAATCGGGGTAAGCTGATTGTTTTCAAAGGTGCGACCCGAGACTTGGCACACAACAATTGTGAGGCCCAACTTTCACCTGACGTCTTCGAGCGCAGGTAGATGGCCGCCCCGTAAGCCCTTTCTGACGCGTCCGAGAAGCCATGCAGCTCTACATACCGGCAGGACGACAATGCGCGCCGAGGAACGCGCAATGAGGCGATCTCGGCGATCTCGCTACGAAATTGCGACCAGAGGGAGTGCAGATCTTGCGGTAAACTCTCATCCCAGCCTAACTTCATTTTCCAGAGCGTTTGCATGAATAATTTTGCTCTATTATTGGACCGATGAGTCCCAAAGGATCGAATATTTGAGCGATCTCGGCTAAAACATAACGCTTGGTTATCCTGGGAAATGTTCGATGGTCAACATTGTAGCCCAATTCGTCAGAGGACACTGACCATGTTAAACCTAACGTTTTAGCCTCTCTATCCGATGACTTGAATTCTAAATTTCGCGTTTTATCTGCGTCACTCGCTACTCTAGGATCGTTACTCGCCCATTTTCTCAAAGGAAAGCCAGCTTGTGCTAAAATTGCTACCAATGAATCCCACAATTCTAATGCTTCCTCGAGAGTATCGCAGCCGGTCAACAAATCGTCTACGTAGAAATCGTTTAATATTGCGGCACTAGCAAGAGGACATGATTGCGCGCATTCCTTGTCTATCTGGTGCAAAACGCGTGTCGCCAAGTACGAAGCAGAAGCGGTACCATAAGTCACGGTGTTAAGTGAGTAATCGGTGATTGTTTCGTCCTCACCGAAACGCCAAAGGATTCTTTGAAATTTGCGGTCTTCTTCCCTGACTAAGACCTGCCTATACATTTTCACCACGTCTGCCGAGAGAACGATCGAGTGCTTACGGAATCTAATCAAAATATTGAACAATTCATCTTGAACAAGCGGGCCTACGAGTTGAGTATCGTTTAAGGAGATACCCGAGGAGGTCTTCGCAGAACCATCAAAAACAACACGAAGCTTGGTGGTCGTACTGCTCTCCTTTGTCACCATATGATGAGGCAGGTAGAAATTATCACCGACCCCTCCTAGGCATTTCGCTTCCAATTTTGTCATGTGTCCTAAATCGACATATTCGCGAAGAAACTCGTTGTACCTTGCGCGAAGATCCGGGTTTTTCCTCAACTTCCTTTCTAGATTAACTAAACGACGCTCCGCTTGCGTGCGGGACTCTCCTAACTGACGAACTTGTTCATTAAACTGTATGGCAACAATAAACCGTCCTGTTCCATCGCGCTTCGTATTTTCTTTGAAGTGCAGTTCACAAGGTTCGTGGTCACTAGGCTTGGTCTCGAGAGTGTTAATTTCTTCCATTTCCCAAAACCACGATATGGAATTCTCCAATTCCATGTTTGCTATGGCGTGACAAGCGTGAAAGGATTTAGTGTTGGCCTGCGATTTTGGCCACTGGAGTCTGCCGTCTAGGACCGATCCGAGCCTTGTCTTTTGCCACATCAAATTGCCTAATCCGACCTTAATTTGCCCGATGCATAATAGGTCCCAGAATGGACCTGCCCCAATCAATAGGTCGATTCTACCGGAGGTTTGAAACCCTGGATCGGCTGGTACCACTCCCTTAGGTATCGTCAATTTTATTTTGTTCAGAGGAACGTTCGGCATCTCCTCCGTAATGGTTTCTAATACCAAGCACGAAAGCTTACGCTTAAAATTTCCTGAACTGGAAAGAACCTCTACCTGGGTAGACGAGTGGACCGGGTTTTTGACGCGTCTCAGCCCACCGACCATGGTCTCGACGGCCTGAAGAGACAAACCAGTGCGCTCGCAACATTCTCTGGTTATGAAGTTTGCTTGCGAGCCTGGATCTAATAAGGCGCGACATTTGTGACGTATCCCCCTCTGGTCAACAATTACTACAAGCGCGGTCGAAAGGATCGCACACATTCGAGATCAACCTTTGCCATACAAGATTGCGAGATGTGAGTGGTGGATGGCGGGAGAGTTTCAAGATCATTAGAGTCCTGTTCAACAACTAAGCGGGGGGGAGGTGTAATCTCCTTATGCAACAAGGTGTGATGCATTTTGCCGCATTTTCGGCACTTGGAACTGTTGCACGCCTTAACACTATGCCCTGTATTGAAACAATTGAAGCATATTCGCGCGCGCTTCACCGCGACATGCCTTTCAGAGAAAGACATGGCCAAGAATTTAGAGCAATATTGGAGCGTGTGCTCATCACCGCATAATACGCATTTATTATTTTTTTTATTTACAATGTGCGAAGACGCGACATATGATTTGTTGGCTCTTTCACGCGGTTTGGTAGGTTTCTGAACCTCTAGTGGTGAATGGCCTTCGGACGGCCCATCAGGATTTTTTCGCGTCAGATATTGAGCCCGTTGCTCCAAGAATTTCGATAAATCGCGAAACGTTGGCATAGTGGGCGAATTCATGACACGCTTCTCCCAATCATCCAGGGAGAGGCTGTCCAATTTCCTCGAAAGAATCCCATTAATGAGAGCCTCACACAAATCCGGAGGCTCTAGGATTTTTTGCAACGCCCGTACGTTGTTAACCGCGGTATCAATAAATTTCGTAAGAGAATTGCCATTTTTCCTTTTAGATGGCTCTAAATCTAGGATTGCGCCAACATGATGCGATATTAAATTTTTGGGGTCATCAAAACGCTCTCTCAGTCGTTCCCAAGCTAATCTGTAATTCGCTTCCGAGACACTGTAGGACTCGATAATTTGGGCGGCAGGCCCAGATAATGCCGAAGCTAGATAATTGAATTTGTCCATGTCGGTTAGTCTTTCCGAATCATGGACCAAGGAAACAAATGTGTCCCTGAAGCGAATCCAATGACTGAAATCCCCACTAAAATTGGGAAGCTTTATGATCGGTAGACGCGTCATGTGAGGATCTGATGGAGCTGGAGAAGCGCGATTTACCGTCCCAGGCTCCAACCCTCGCGCCTGAGCCAGTCTAGTTTCCGCTTTGGAAAGAGTTCTAAAGTAAGTATCTTCAAATTGCTCGCGCTCCGCAAGCTGGACCTCCTCGTTAGGAGTGTCCAGTACCGTTGCCTCTATTTGCGACTGTACCCGATCGAATTTCTGGAATAAGTCTTCATTTGTCCCAACGCGTTTTTCGAATGCCACCGGGTCTGATTGCACGTCCGCTGACTCGACAAACCTTCTAAAGACTGTTAACTTAGCCTTCACGGCTCCGCGCTCGGCAACTAGTGATTTGGAAGCCTCCATAATGTACCACGGTCAGAACACACAAACGAAGCTAAAGGAAATGACTTACGATAGGATAGGGTTGTATCGGCGTTTCCAAGCAGGTTCCGCAGCCCGTCTCTCGATGTGATCGTCGTGTCCGGGCAGCAACGATGCGTCCAGACAGCTACCTTTCCGTGGTCAGGGAAACCCAAAGTGCGATGATCGATGCAACCCTTGAAGATGCACGCCGCTTGCTGCTATCACGTCCAGGGGGGTGTTGAGCCAAGTCCTCACACACAGGCGCCTCACTGGATGTACAAGTCGACGGCCAAGTCTTCCAACAATGTCACAGCTCGATGTGGACCTTTCCACACAGTATACGGCTCGAAGGACCAAATGTTATTGCTCGCGGTCGATTTTTAGGAATCGGTCGAGCCTTGTGAAATTTACACGTACTGTGTCGACTAGTGAATACTCGAAGGACCACCTCCCCTATCAGGAGGAACAAACTTTACACCGTGAGTGAGGCAAAACAATTTATTTACACTCTCCGGCGGAGATACCAGAATGTTGAGTTGCGAGTTTCGAAAAGTATCTAAAGGAAACGAGAGGTATCTAAAGGTGTCTAGAAGGTATTGAAATGGTGTCTAAATGGTATCCAAAAGGTATCTAGAAGGTATCGAAAGGTGTCTAAATGGTATTTGATCTGTAGACCGATCTGTAGAGGTTCGCCCATAACGATGCCTCGGTCCTCTCTACCCTAGTAAATTAGGGGTGGGTGTTGAGGAAAGCCGCCCAATCGCCACGAGCCCGAAAGACAACGCCTGGGACCTAAGGAGGGGCAGTACCGCATCTTTGCACGGGAGTTCGAGGCCGCGCATGGGCCCGGGAACTTCCCGACATCTGCAAACCATTTCCTAAATTGCCCCTTGTCCCAAGACGTACCGTCTTCCGCGACCCGCGGCGCGCTGTGGGCCTAGGGTCCAGTGTTTATGGCGGGCAATACTGCCGATGGCCAAGAGTGTGGACCATGTGCCTTGGGGCGACCGGAAAACTCCTTTCAACATGGAGCGGGTGACAGGCCCATACCCTAGCCGGTTTCACGGGTCCCAAGCACATGGCCCCCCGCTATAAAACCCTCGCTCGACAA